CAGTTGTTTCAAAGTAACAAGCTGAAGTCGAATAATTGCCAGTTATTGTTGTTGTATTTGGATTTTGGATAGATTTAACAAAGTAGAAAATACGATGAGGCTTTGTTGTATCTTTATTTAGAATAAAGTAAAAAGAAAAGAGATGATAGCACAATCTATAATTATATATTAAGAAGCTGAGGTATTTAAACTGAGTTGGCTATATTTGATTAAGGTGTAACAGATCTTATAGCAGCATTAGGTTCAACTCTAGATATTGTATTTAAGCACTGAATAGTAGCGTGGATACTACATCACCCCCTTCCAATCTGCTAGACGTCTTTTATCTGATCATTATTTTTTGAATCTGATAATTGTATCCACAGATTTATGCGTTTATGCATTTTTGTAATACCATGATTTGATCTGTCAAATGTAATTTGTTTTTGTTTGCTTTTTTTACTACGTAGTTGATTGTTTGACTATAGATGTGTGTTTTAAACACATTGTTGTCACATAATGGAGATTATATGCCATGGTCTTTTTGATCATAGTATTCTAGTTTTTTAATATATAGACTAGATGAAGTATTTGGGTAAAATAGACAAAATGATTAACGAGACTAAAAGTCAGTTGTCCTTTATTGAATGAAATACGGAGGTCAATTTTTACTTTTTCTAATGATCGGATAAAGTTATCTCAGCTATGATGATTACCAATATTTGGGGTGGTGTTGACAGGACAATAGCGATGTATGACGAGCTGTTGTCTAAATAATAAATTTTTCTTAGACTTATAACTGTCACAGTGATAAATATTCACACGTAGGCGAGAGTTCCCAATTTATAAATAGATATCATCTATCTTGATTTTAATTGGGTTATTTAATTGTTCTTTATGTATAATGACTTATTGATGTGCCATTTATTAGTCCAAATACCACACATTTTGATCACTTCATATGGCCCAGTGTATCTAGGTCCAAATTTTGTGCGTTGTCTGACTTTAATCATGACATGACTTCCATTTGGAAAAGTGAAAGATTTATTTTTTCCGTCAAAGTCTTTCTTTTGCTTCTTAATTACCTCTACGGTTTTTTCGTAGATTGCTGGAAATACCACTTCATTCATTTGTTTTATTCTTTCTTGTATTTCTTCTTCCGTCATTTCTTTTTTAATGTCCTCATTTGAGTAGTCAGCAAACTCATTAAGCTTACGACCGAACATTATGGTAAAAGGCGGTGTGTTCGTCCTTTTACTTGTCTTATTGTTTATTGACAGTTGTACTGACGGTAAGAATTTATCCCATTCGTTAATATTTCCTTCGATGGTTTTTTCTAGGACATTCATGGTTGTTTTTACAGTGTTTTCAGCTGCACCATTCGCCCTTGGATGATATGGGGTTACAAGTCTGTGGTCAAAACCAACGGCTTTTTTAAAACGTTTCATTTTGTCGTTGACGAATTCAGCTCCATTGTCTGATTGTACAATTTTTGGAATACCAAAATCACAGAATACGTTTACTAGTTGCTGTACAATCGTATCAGACTTTTTGTCAGGTATAGCACGTAAGATTACAAAACGTGAAAAGATATCCCTCATGATCAAAATATAATTGTTACTTTGATTTGTAGTTGGTAAAGGCCCTACTAGGTCAATAGCCCAGTGGTCACCTGGTAAGTTTGAGGAGATGGGACGAAGAGGATGAAATCCATGTTTCGCTATATTGAACTTTTGACATAAGTGGCATTTACTAACTAAAGCAACAGCTTGTTCTTTTAATTTAGGCCAATGAAATCCATTACTGTGAATAGATTTGACGATTGCTTCAGCACCAAAGTGACCGAAGAGATGCGCCTTGTTCAGCAAATCCTGACGATCTTCGACCGGTGGTTCTATTCTATCAACACCACTCAGTTCAACGGATCTATTTAATAATGCGTCACCGTCATCACCCCCTTCCAGCCTTGACTCAACGGGGAAAAGGCGTGAAAGGTACAGTGACTCACAAAACCTTTCAAATGTTTTGAGTGTTTCTACGTTTTTAGTAATTGTTACGGGTAGAATGGTCACAGCGGCTTGTGCATACCACCATTCGAAAGCCCAAGCCTCGGCAATTTAAATAAGTATAAGCGCGTCACAAATAGTGACTGCTACTGGGAAAGCGCAAGAGATAAAGTGAACAGGTACATTTGAAAGGTTTTGAGCGTTTATTTATTAATAACTTCTAATACTTT